ATATATATATAGTAGGTATGTATTTTTTTTTTATATCATCGGAAATCGCTGACTGAGCGAAGTGAGTCGGCGAAATAAGAGAGATAAAAACGTGCGTCGTCTATTCGAAATAGAATTTTCCTTGCAAATCCCTTGCTTAAATGCGTTACTGCATTCTATCATTCCATGTAACACGGTTAATTCGTTTCATCTTCTCTATCGAAATCTGAAAATAGTTCCAATCAAGTCAAATGTAATTTATGTTATATATATATATATATATATATATATATATATATGTGTGTGTGTGTGTGTAACTCGTACGAGTGTATTGAGTCTGTATTTAAGTAAATGAAAATTACGTTATTGGTTGTCGCAACTTTTTCATCGTCATTTCAAACTATCGTTTTATAAAATGATCGAAGAACTTGTGGTTAAAACAATTGTAAAATATCATTTTTTTCTCTCTCTCTCTCTCTCTCTCTCTCTCTTTACATTTATCTCTTTTATTTTATTAATTTGTCGAATTTGTTGTTAATGAATCGGCAAGATATTATTTTTCAGGATTTCGATAACTCGTTTGGCGCGTGTCACTCGCATTTTTTTTTTTTTTTTAAATAAATGTGCTCAGCTTGTCCAACGCACGTGGCATCGATTTTTTGCTTCGTTTAAGAAGAAAAAGCATTGAAAAGAGAGAGAGAGAAAGAGAGAGAAATGAGAGAGAAGGAAAAAGATTATCTGACTTTACGTTTCTATATGCGTTTGAGTCTAATAGGATAAAGAGTAGTCGCATGACTTTGATACTAGATAAATCGATTTATCTTAAAGAGAACGAAGACATCGAATCCAAAGTAAATCGAAGAGAAATCGAAGAGAAATCGTTAAACGTGAGAGAAAACTTTCAACTAACTTGACATATCGAAATCGACATTTTTCCTCCTTCGTTTACGTCTTTACTTACTTCCTTCCTTCCTTCCTTCCTTTCATTCATTTCTCATTTCTTTTTGTTTCTTTTCATCTTATTTTACTTTTTATTTTTATTTTTCTTCACACAGAATCACTTTCGATCCACTTAATTGCAATAATTACTTTTGATAAGACGAGTACTACCGTTGATGTATTATATATAAAGGAGTTTCCAACAAAACTTCTCTCGTAACAAGTTTTAATAAACTTCCCGTAGTTAATCCCAACGAGAGAAAGAGAAAGAGAGAGAGAGAGAGCCCCTCTCGCCCAATGAAATAAATTTTCGAATGGATCTTCAAACGTACCCACGCGTAAATTAAAATCACATTTTAAAATCCCTTTTTTCGCGCGTTAATAAATGGCCTTTTTTTTACGCGATCAGTTTACAAATTTTCTCTCCTGCCTATTTCAATGAATAAAAAATACAAAATAAATAAAAGAAAAGTCAATTACCAAATGTATATTTCAAATACAATCAAAACTATATATATATATATATATATCGACGAGTGGTGTTATTAACGAATGAAAAAAAAATAAAGAATAAAAGAAATAAAAAGTACTCTGCTGCACGTGGGTAATTTCAATTGTCCGTTTTTACCCATAATTTCCTTCTCACCCACCACCACCACCACCATCAATACTGCGATCATTATCCACAGTTGTGGATGATTATTATAATTAAAATTTATTCAAAATTGGATGACGCGCGATGATAAATGAAAATATGAGATGGATAGATCGAATGTACTTGGAATATAATGTCGTTCTTGAGAGAATCATGTGAATTGAAAATCAAATAACTGTCGGTAACAACGTCGGTCTCTCTCTTTCTCTCTCTCTCTCTTTTTCTCTCTTTCTCTCAAATGCATTTTCAACAATATATACATCTATATATTCGTTTTATGTATTCGACGTGCGATACGGCCGATTTCAAATGACGTTTCGATTTTACTCTGCCGATCGAATTACGAATATATACCACCCTATACTGGCCAACGATATCCCTTCCTCACACCCCTTACACACCCAGCACCCTCGCACACACACCCTGCACACACCCCGCATTCCGCATATATCGCACCCCAAACCCTCGCGTTATTGACTTTGCGTTTTGCATACGTAAATACGGAAAAAGTATGGGTGTATCAATTACGTGAAACGCCGATAGAAATACGATCCACTTATTTGCTGCATAACGCAAACCCCTTATTCTTTTCTTTTTTTTTTTTCTCATTGCGTTCACTTTTCTTACCATAAATCCGAGTAACACGCGACTTACTTTACTTTTCTCATTTTATTTTACTTTTATTTAACTTTTATTTTATTTTACTTTTACTTTTACTTTTACTGGTAAGTTTTTGAATAAAAGAAAATATATCTTAATATATTTGTTTTCATTTTGTTGTTGTTAATGTAGTATTGTTAGGTGTGTATGTTTGTGAATAATCAAAAATGTAATCTTTTATTAATTGAAATTAAATTTGTTAATTGTTTGTGAGGCCGCATATATTACCGCTATGTTTTTCTTTTTTTAAAAAAGATAATTACTCGATATTGTATGACGTAAATGAGAGTCCGTGTGATGTTAAAAAATTATTTCAAGTAAAAAAGAAAAGAATGATGAGTATATACGCGACATTAAAAGTAAACAGATTAAAATCGGTCAAAATGATCGGTTAAAGTGATACGAATCTTCGTTCCTTGTTTTTGTATAAAAATGTTTCAAATCGTATATACGCGTACTCTCTCTTAAAGAAAAAAATAATATTTTTATATCGAATTTGCATTGGACAGAAAAACAAAAAAACAGAACAAACCAATTGGTTTATTTTTTTTCCCCCCTTTAGTCGACCAATCGACAAATCTCATTTTTATACTCTGATATTCAATTAAATCAAATTAATAATAAAAAAATAAAGAAGATCGAGATCACATTAGGGAAGGTTTACAATTCCGGCTGAAATAGCTTTTATTATCTCGTTTGTTTTTTCTTTTTTTTTTTTTCTTTAACCACAATATTATTTTTCAAACGATTAATAGGAATTTAAAAAAGCGAATTCTTTTTTTTTTTTTTTTTCAATCAATCTCCATAGTAATTTTTATCCCCTATATCGTGTTAGGCTCAAAACTTTTCAACCCTCTTCAAGTTAAGCTCACAATTGTACGATCGTAAAGTTTGTTAAAAAAAAAAAACAATCGGTGTCTTTCGGTGGTTCCGATTTAGCCCTTTCTGAGAGTTATTTGTTATCGAAGGTGGGAGAAAAGAAAAAAAAACATACGTCGGAACGAGAGAGAGAGAGAGAGAAAGAGAGAGAGAGAGAGAGTTGGTCTCGTTTATCGATCAACCTTCCTTGCCCTTACCCCCTAATACCACCACTTCACCCTCCACCCCACCCTTCGTTCTCTCTCTCTCTCTCTCTCTCTCTCTCTCTTTCTTTCTCTCTCTCTCTCTCTCTCTCTCTCTGCTTTTCTGGTTTCGGAACGTCCGAATTAGATGTAACTTCGGACGAATTCAGAAAACGATCGTCTCTAACTCGTTTCACGTACTATGTTTTCCGACGTTACGCGATTGATCGATGTTACCCATCAGGACGCAAGAGCTTCGATAAGAAAAAGAATGAAGAAGAAGAAGAAGAAGAAAGAAAAAGAATGAAGAAAAAGAATGAAGAAAAAAGATAGAAGAAGATCTTTCAGATTTCTTTTTTCGGCACACACATACATAGACACAGAAAGACACGTCCGTTTGATATCCTCGAAATATATATCGAGGATAGAAGAAAATGAAATGGAATAAATCATTCGCGTGCACAACGCGAATGAAAATAATAATTAATTGTAGAATAAGATTCGACTAATTGGAATAGAATTTTTTTTTTTTTTGTGGAGGAAAATATCCGTATATAAAATAAAATAAAAGAAAAGAAGTTTTTGAGATTAGTAAAAGAAATATTCGTTAAATAAGATTAGATGAGAATTGATCCGAGTATTAAAATCATGTTCTCAATATTATAAAGATACATCGAAATTGTATATTAATTTATTTTTAACATGAAATGATCATCTGTGATCGATCGTAGAAGTTGGAATACGTAAAAAAAAAAAAATGGAATTAATCGAACAACAGCATTATTATTACGTGCTGTTATTTGTCGTGAACACTATCATTCGGTTCTATAATATCGTTTATCCTGTCTGTCTCTCTGCATGGTATTGTATCGTATCGATATTGTAAATCGATAAGACTCGCGTTAATGACACGCATGAGTGAACAAACGAGTGACCTGCACTTCCATCTGCATAATATGCATTCACTTACACGAACGAGAGAACATTTGGATGAGTAGTTAGAGACACGTGGACGAACAATCTGTGTGAGAATTAGTGAGAGAAAGAGAGAGAGAGAGAGAGAGAGAGAGAGACAAGAATAATCAAGGATGTAAGGTAAATTAGGTAAATTGATGACCAGGAAGAGCTTATGGTTAAAGATCCAACATTTATTCGTCTCGTTAAAAATCAATTACGAATAATATAAAGAAATATACATACCGATATTAAAGAATATCGATAGAAATAAAATTGTGTTGTTATACGGTTGGTTCAGGGACTGGGTGGGGGGGGGGGCGGAGGAGAATTATCATTCAAAAAAAGAACAAAAATTTGTACGGGGAGAAAAAAAGATAAAGAAGAAGAAGAAGAAGAAGAAGAAGAAGAAGAAGTGGAAATTCCAACTGGAAATCGTGTACGCCGTTAGCATGTAGGGAAAAGTGGAAACGGCTTTAGCCGATTCTAAGTGTGGGAGGATCGCAGAGTTTTTTTCGAGTGTAGTGTGTGGTACTGTTAGTCAGAGTATAGTAGGAAGAGAAAGAGAGAGGTGGGGTGGAAGAGGGAAGGGGTTGTGGAAGGGAAGGGAAGGTAAAGGAAAGGTAAGGGGGTATAGTAGTATAAAGAGGGAGGGATGAGGGTGGGGGGTGGTGCGCGCGCGGGAAGAAACGTAGAACGGGTGGATAGGGTGGGTGGTTGGTGGTGGCAGAGACTAGGTGGTTGGTGGTGTAGTCGGTGGGGTGGGCAGGGGGACTAGGAGAAGGGACGAAGTAGGCACGAAGGTGGGATAGAAATTGTGGAATAGTAGGGGTAGGCGGTATGGTTCTGGGGGTTGGAAAGCAGCTGAGAACAGTGCGAGTAGGTCACACCGTCGACCACAGTGGCAGTCTGCGTTTGGCAAACGGCTCGACTGTCCATCGATAACAGTCAGCAACTATTTCTATTTCTCTCTCTCTCTCTACTCTCTCTCTCTACTCTCTCTTTCTCTTTCTCTTTTTCTTTTTCTTTTTTTTTTTTTCCATTCGTTTGTCCTATTCCTAAAAGAAGAATCATTCGAAAATTGTCTTTTTTCTTTTTACGCGTCTCCATCTGTCGTTTGTCTCCCCTATCTATTCTTATCTCCCCGTTACTTTCTATCTTCCTTACTTTTTATATTATCTTTGGTTAGAATTTTGTTTAGTAAAAATATTGTTCGGGAATATATATTCTTCCTCTTCTATTCTCTCGTATTACGTTATACCACAATCTTGAACGTGTGTAATCCTTTTTTCTTTTTATCTTTCCAAATCTTTTCTTCTTCTTATTCTTCTTCTTCTTGTCTTAAACTTACAAATGATTTCTATCCTTTTATCATTCGTTCAGCAACGAGGAAAACGAACACGACGACGATCACGAAAACGACGAAAACCCTTATTCCTCGTTTTTGGAACGTACTCCCGAGTACGCCTTCTCCCCCTTCCCTAACCCCCACCCCCCTGTCGAAGAAAATCAAGGACGCTTTTGTCGTCCAGTTCTCTGTACTTTTTTTTCTTTTTTTTTTTCTTTTCTTTTACCACCCGTTACTATTCTTTTTCCTCAACCAGCTATCCTTCTAACATATACCAACTTCCGACCCTTTTTTTCATTCTTCTTTATATTCTCTCTCTCTCTCTCTCTATCTCACATTCTCTGTGTGTCCCTTTTTCGGCAGAGAGTATTTTTGAATCACAAACGCGTTCAACTCGCGTAAGTCAAAAGAAAATAGTAGTACTTAGGAGAAGAAGGGAATGGGGGAAAGGGGAGGAGACGAGAACAGTGGTCGTCTAAAACGTTTGTTCGATTCACTCTTTTCTCTCTCGTTGATCTTCCTTAATATAAAAAGAAAAGAAAAAATAAAGAGAGAGAGAGAGAGAAGAGAGAGAAAAGATAAATAGGATCAAATATATATATATATAAAAATATATATTTCATTTTCTTTGTATACTCGTTGAAAAAATTAAGATTAAAATAGAATTCGGAGATATAGAATGAAAGATATACGTAGTCGGAAATTGTGATTGAGATTTAAGAAAGAGAGAGAAAGAAAGATAAAGAGAGAGAGAGAGAGAGAGAGAGAAATTGTCGCGTATAAATCGAGAGAGAAAAAAGAAAAAAATAATACGGATTAAATAATAAGACAGAAAAATTTGGCACGACGCGCGTTATTAATATATTCCAGTGAATTATTCGATCGTTACCACCGGTCTATCGACGAATTCCCGCCCAGGGATGACAAGAAGGAACAAAAGGATTCAGTTTTTCTCTGGCAGGCTCGTTTGAAAACAACAAGAAGAAAAAATACAAAAAAAAAAAAAACACACACACATATTATTATATACGTATTATAAAAGATAATTCTAAAAAAGATATATAAAAAAAAAAAAAAAAAAAAATAGAGAAATATTATAGGAGAACACCAACGCACCCGTTGGCGGGGCTTTTTCCTTACGAACTTTTCTCTTCGTGAATCTCGAGAAAAAGAGACAAGAGAGAGCGAGAAAGAGTGAGTGCGAGTAAGAGAGAGAGTGAGAGTGAGAGGGGGGATACGTTATTTACTGTTGATTTTCTTCCCCCTTCTACTTCTACTTCTTCTATTACTACTACTACTACTACTACTACTACAAAAATGTTATATTAGTTCTTCTACTGCTGTGGGACACTTGTATGTACTGAACAGAAAAAAAAAATAAGAGAGAGAGGAAAGATAGTGAAAGTGGTTGTTTTTGTTAGTTGAAGCATCGTTCCTCTCTCTTCTCGTACATTTCGAGAATTCATGCTACCCAGTAACAATTGGTGTGTCACCTAGTAGTCACGTGTGTATACTTCGTTTCTTTCTCCTCCGTTATTATACTTCTGCTGTTACATTTTTCTTTTTATTAATCTTTTAACATTTGTGAGAACATTGAAAAGAGTGAGAGAGAGAGAGAGAGAAAGAGAACCGTGTTTTAATAGAAGAATATAATCAACGGAAGAAGCATAACACGAGATAATAATTAATATTGTTAATTTATTGTTATCGTTGAATCGTTGTTGATTAACGGGAGAAAAGAAACAAAAAAAAAAAAAAACAAACCAGGAGCTCAGGTATTTCAAATTGTGATACGCTTTTAAAGCGTATTCTTTTTTCGTTTGTTTTTTCGTCTATTAAGCATTGAGAATTAAACGGCAAGGAGGGGAAGGGGGAGAGAGAGAGAGAAAAAAAGAAAATATAATTAGATAAGAAATTAGCCGATGATTTTGATTCGATGATGGAATTACCTTGACTGATAATTTAAAAAAATCAAGAAAATAAAACAACGGGAAAGCCGATTATATATTAATACTTTTGTACGATAATCGAGTAAATCGTTAAACAGTTTATAAGAAGAAGAAGAAGAAGAAGGAAAAATAACAAAAAAAAAAAAAGTAAGAAATACGATTGTAAGGAAAAATTGATCGATGATCTAAAGGAAATCTTTGGACAAAATTGACGTCTCGTTGTCGAATTGTTTGATATCACAAATAGAGAAAGAAACTAACAAACAAACAAACAAACAAACGTACACGTAAGTGTAGATCGTCAAACTATTTTAGTCACTTACATTTAATCGTTTCTACAACTTACTCGGATGGATATCGAACGATAAGATCATCGAATGTTCGATACGCTGCTCTAAGAGGAATCTAAAAAGAAAAAGAAGAAAAAGAAAAAGAAGAAAAACCTTTCGGCTGGAATAAACGTTTATCCGAACGCGAATCCCGAATAAAGTCGGGAAAAATAAAATAAAAGGGAGAAAAAAAGGGGATGGATTACTAGATAGAATGGAGAGAAAGGGAATATCAAAGAATAAAAGTTAGTCATCTATCGAAAAGAAAATAAAACATCAAGAAAATTCGACAAACCCTTTTTTTCCTCCACTTCCTCCTTCTTCTCCTCCACCCCACCCAATCTCCACCGCCTTTGACAAGAATAAAACTCTCCTGATTAAATATATTCTTCAAAGAAATAATAATTATATTTACACGGAATATAATAACGAATAAATTCAATCTGATATTCGTTTAATTTAATTCGATAATATATCGAAGATAATATTTTATTCACGAGTAAGTGTGAGAGAACAACAGAGTACTCTACAAACAAAAAAAAAAGAATAAAAAGAAGCATATATAATTTATTTTACAACA